AGAGAGAGAGAGAATGAGAAATATAGCAAGAGAGATAGAGACAGAGAGAGATAGAGATAGAGAAGGGATAGTGATATAACAAACCATTACATAAACAGATTCTTCCAAGGCCTCCAGGCTTCGTTGATCCGTAGATATATCGACTTCACAGAAAAGTAAATATCGACCGAGCACGAACATTTTATTTTATTATTTTTTTTAACATAAATGACAAAACACAATTTGAAAATAATGGGAACAATGCACATGTTTCCTCTCTTTAAAGGGGCATGTACACAGTTTTAACTATAATTTCAAAATTTATTTTTCCATTTTTACTAACTTTTAACAAAGAACTTTCTGATGATTATCAAAAAAGAACGTCAGTTGTCAAGATAAAAGAGAGAGATTTAGAGCTCGAAAACTTTATTTTGTAAACAAGGTCCGTGTCATAGTTTTGATCATATAGGTCATAAAGGTCATAGGCGCTTTGGTCAAGGATACTGTATATTTTCTATATAATGCATTGTCGAGGAAATTCGAACTTACTTAACAGTTTCTTTTTAGTGTACAGTGCGATATGTCATTTTTAAAGCGTGCATAAAATCGAATTTCCGTGACATTTTAGTGTATATGAAGCACAAAGGTTTACAAAAAACTAAAAATTAATACTGCACACTGAAAAAAAAATGTTACGAGTAAGTTCGAATTTCCTCGACAATGCATTATATAGAAAATATACAGTATCCTTGACCCAAGCGCCTATGATATAGGTTAATATACTAATACATGTTCGTTCAGAGTAGATAATTTAAACTAGAGGTACTGTGAGCGATGAGCTCACTAAATGATACCCCCCGCCTCCCATATGGTTATAACTGGTGAAATAGTCCATCTTTTCCTGTGGCCGGGAAACCCAAAATATCTGTCGGATCAAAAAGTAAAATAGGAGGTGCACAATGGCAATATGTAATAAAGATTCTGTGAAAGTTTCATCAAATTTCATTCATTAGTATGAGAGGAGTTGCGGATAAGAGATGGGTACCCCAAAGCGTAACAGACGGACGGACAGACGGACGGACGGAATTAACGATTACTATATACCCTCCCGCTTTTCAAGCGGGGGGTATAAACAGACGGACGGACGGACGGACGGAAATACCGATTACTATATACCCCCACTTTTCAAGCGGGGGGTATAATAAAGAAGTTAATTTAAATACGATTCGACGGTTTCCATTGCTTTGCTGAATTTAATTTTGTTATATATTAGGGATGGCAATTTGTAACCTGCTAATCGATTACTCGGTCGGAAAGATGGCAATCGGTTAGAAAATCTGTAATCGGTTACATGTAGTCGGGAAAAAAAATTATATAAATTTGAACCTAATTTTGTTAGAAATTCATTTTTGAAAAGAAAATATCTTTAAATAAAGGTTATTAATTCAGCGTTTTTACATATCCAAGCTGACTTGGATGTAATTATGGTTCTCCGGATTGAGATTGTAGGGTAAATGGTCATTTTGTGTTAAAAATTTTAACAGTTAATTTCTGTTAAAACACCATGTCGTTACCCTGACTGTCCTGTATTTCTTTAATGATAATTAAATCACCGCTAAAAACTGTGAAGTAGTATTGTTTTTGCTGTTATCTATAGAATAAATTATTAAACAAACTTTGAAAATTAAGTGATGTATTTCAGATCCATTTAACATTTTTCTAATATTAATAAAGTCCTAAAAAGAATTTCATCGCCCGTCCTACTAGAAAATGTTTTTTTTTTATTATTATTATTTTTTTTTTGAAAGCCGATATTTCAATTTGTTACCTTAAGTTTACTGCGTGGAGGGTCCTCCAAGATATATAAATTTTTAACTCATTTACCCAATGATCTGGGTCAAATTAAACTGTCAAGATTATAGCATTAATGGGACATCCAATTACTTTAAAGATTCCTCATCAACACTCCTTTTTTGGGTTTTTTTCTTCTTTCCCGCATTTCATGGCGACACTCAAATAAAGTTATAGTGATCATTGAGAAGGCAAGTGATTGACTAAACAGATGGACAGCAAAACGGGTATTTCTAAAAGGGGGAAGAATTATCAGGCATTCCCAATTTATAAGTAGCGCTGTACAATTGTATCATTCAGACTTAACACACTTGTCAGAGTTCGGGAATTACATGTTCCTAAACAACATTCAGGGAGCCCTAAAGTATTTTGCCAGTGAGGATTAAAGAAAAGAATATCCTTGTAAAGAATTAATTAATTTAGTACATGGAATTGAAAATTCTTTTGGGCAGATGTACGGTATTCATTTTGATGGTTATTACCCCCACCAAACCTGATTGTATGCCTGCAGATGCACACATAATATTAGGTGCCCATGTGGCCATATCCTCACCTTCAAGTTGCTTATGGAAACATGATGTTGATTGTTCACTGTTGTTACGTTGATGTTGATTAAAGAATGTTTTCGTATAGGCATTTTGAAGTAAAGAAATGTACATTAAATGATATGTTGATGTGTAGTGTACTGTATTATGGGTGTTTGGGTAGGATAAGTCTTTACTGCGTTTGATGATTGAATATATTTTAATTAGCTTAATATCTGTAAGTATGTGCTGTTATGAAAGTTTCTCCCTTAATAAAATCCATAATATTGAGTAATATTCATAATGTTGATTAAATAATATTTCAATCAAGACAATTAAATGTTAAGAGTTGTATATTAAATGGTATAAATGATGTTCACTCCTCCACGGCACCTGATCCCACCTCTGATGTTTCAGGGGTACGTGTTTGCTCTGCTCCCATTTTATATTGTTTTATGGACTTTGAGATTGAATACTGTTCGTTATCTCCATATCCTTCCTCATGATATGTTCATGTGTTGGAAGCATAATTGTGATCAACTCAGCATGATATTTGTTCTTTTGGAAGACACATAGAGAGAGAGAGAGAGAGAGTAGTATGACAGCAATAAGTACTGTCTGTTGAGCCATGAATGTTAAATTGAGGAAGTTCATGTACACTTTAACCAGCGAAGGCTCTCTCAATACCAGTGCAAACGAAATGTTCTATATTTAAAGTAGTAAAATATTAAGTTTAATTTTTTGGGGGGGGGGGGGTCAGATCCAATGTAAGAAAAGCTTTCCTTATAAATTGCTTATTAACTATTCAGTTAGAACACACTGAGTTATTTAATTAGTTTTGAAGTCTTCAAGAAATGTAGGCAAAAGCAATATCAGTTACATGTACGTGATTTTTCAAATTTTAGATTACATTACAGAGCATGCTAGCTGAAAGTTACATCACTAATTCTAATAAGAATTTTCTCAAGATATATTTTTACATGCGATATATTTTACAAAAATATGAAAACTAAAAATATTTTTAAACGAGAATTTTTTCTTAAGGAGAAGAGTTTTCTAGACTAAAATTTTTTTTTTAACTCATTGCCGTCTTATTTTAGACCTATCCCAATATTTAATACAACCACGAACCTAAAAAAAATTAAAAAACGTATATATTATACATAATATAAATATGAATTCTGACCCTTAACAACGTTTAGAAAGTAGTGTATGAAAACAACTGTAAATTTAGTGGTGTGAATCTAAAAATGAAGTTGAATTTCAGAAAACAATTAGAGTTTAAGCTTCAAATATAAATTTTCTACACCAGAACTATATACTAAGAATTATATACATGTATAATGTTATATACGAGAGAAACAGAGTGAATAGAAATATATTTTTGATCTGTAATATGTTTTTTATATTGTAGAAGTAATGTAAAATCTGATTGAAAAAAAATCGAAGGCAATTTACAACATTTACCCTTAGCAGCGTCATTTTTATTGGACTCAAGAGATCCTGTGCAGATGTGGGATTGTATTGCGAATTGCTACAAGAAGGATATGGAGATAACGAACAGTATTCAGTTTCAAAGTCCATAAAACAGTACAAAGTAAGAGCAGAGCAAACATTGACCTCCGAAACATTTGAGATGGGATCAGGTTCCATGGAGGAGTGAACATCCCCTACCGAGGGGACGTTCAATAAACAATGTCATTAGCTCGATGTCATACAATTAGAAATCATACGACATAAAACTAGACTTTCTATTATTATTGAATCTTTAATGAATTGATAACAGTCTATGTGACCACTTTTCATCACATAGTTTCATCGTGAGAAGCTGGGAAACAAGGGCTATTCGAAACATTGCATTAAAAATGAATGGTAAAGATTCAGTAAACTAGAGTGGAATTAAAAGCTTCATTAAAGCTGCTGTAAAACGTGTTAAAAATCTTAAAGAAATTTTCACTGAAATTTGTGACATTTACACCAACCAATGCCTGTTTTATAGACAAATAAGCAAGTGGATTTCAATGATAAAAAATTATATAATGGGCATCAAATCACTAAGCAGGAATCCACTACATTAAATTTCTTCATGACAGCGTCCAAACCCGCACCCCTGAAGAGTAAATGGGCTTTTCGGGATAAAAAGAAAGTTAATAATTTTTCACACTAACAATATTCGCCAGATCTTCTACCTTTTGACTTTTTTCTATTTCCAAACTTGAAATACCACCTTTCGGAAAGAAGAAACAAGTCCAGGAAATCATTTGATCTGCCTTTTTCCAGTATACTAAGGGTCATACCCAAAAATGAGTTCTAAATACAATCAGAAATTAGATAAAAAAAATTTTAAGACATCTGTTTTAATCAAAAAGATTAATAAGTAAAATCATGAATACTAAATCATTGAAAAGCGTCTTTTGCTTCTTTCCGAGCCCCGATGACATTATTTATTGTACGTCCCTCGTATAAATAATGGACTAACAATTGGTATGAAAAACGTCTGTCAGCATTTGACTACATGAACAAGTGTTGTCAAGTTGATCTGGTTGTTTTAATAAAATGACTTGTACGTATGTATTCAATAAGGAAGTTACTCAATATATGAATATATACCGTCTACTTTATTATACAAGTCTAGATCATTCAATTATGGAAAACAACACGGATTACCAGTTGTTACTACAAGAAAGACATTCCAATATTTCTGTGAGCAGCACAATAATAATTGTAATTGGTGCTGTAATCGGGATCATAGGAAACCTTACCATTATCTTTTTCTACTTTTTTCGCATCAGAGAGAGAGGGGAGCGTTACTTTATTCCGTTATTGGCCATTGTTGATCTTGTGGCATGTTTGACAATCCCCCCTCTCTACATTATGGACAATATCTTTCTCTTCAATTACCCAAGTGATACTGTTTGTCGAATTCTTTCGTTTCTTCAGATGTGTGTTCCTGGAGCGTCGGCTCATGTACTTGTGGTAATATCTTTACAAAGGTACCTTTTGGTTTGCAAACCATTCGGTCCTAAAATGACTTTATTTTGGAAAAGAGTTTTCTTTGGAATAGCATGTGGAATTGCTATTGCATATTCTGTCCCGGTGCTACGAACTTCGGGGGTTTTAAGGAAGGTTGATAAGTTTATGAATCACACCGTTACTATAGAAATATGTAAATTTTCCGTTGACACTTCACCAGTATTAACCGCGTATTTTGGACTTTTATTCCTTATAATACTGGCAAACATTGGGATAACGACTGGACTCTATGTGCCCGTTTTGAGACAGGTTCAGCTTTCTTTTCGTCGGAAAATAAAAGTGAGAAGCACGCAAAATGACTTTAACTTTCCTTTGCATACCAAATCTTCACAGATAACACAATTAACTGAACTTGACAAAGGAAATTGTGGAATTGATGGCACAGAATTACAAAGAGTTAATGTGTCAATCGAAGAAAATGAACCACACAAACATGAACACATTGCAGAAACTTTAGAAGAAACATCAGACATCAACACACAGGAGGAAATCAAAGTTCAAAACCCTGATGGCACAGTGAAATGCAAACAGGCGCGTCCTAAAGATGGATCCGTGCAGACAAGAATCACAAAAATGTTTCTTGTCATAATAATTGCTTATGTATTGGCTTATATTCCACCGCTTGTAATTTTGATTCTTATTTATGCTATTAAAGATTTTAATTATATCACTCTGTCAGAATCTGAAACACTAGCCTGGCTTTATTTTGGACGGTTTATTTTTATGAATAATATTGTGAATCCCTTTATCTATGGCTACTTTGATACAAAATTTCGGAAACAAATACAGTTATACTTTAAACAATGTAAACGAAAATGCTTTTGTATTGAATGATTTTGCTCAAATTATTCAACATGCTTTGGGTTTTGGTAGCCAAAAAATAGAAACCACTTTTACTCTATTAAATGTGAATTTGAACACTTAGCTTAATTACAGTAAAATGTCATTCACATGAGGTCGTGGTAACGTATATGACGTTATAAAATATGAATCACAGCATGAATTAACCCTCAGAATTTCTGTTAATAAGCCGTTATAAGCTTCATTAGAGGGATATATACCCCCTCTTTATATAAATACACCATTTGCTGGCGGAGAACGCAAATTTTGTCCTATACTCGACACTTAATGCCATTGAGCAGGAAGGGATCTTTTTCGTGCCAGCACCCACTGCGACACGGGACCTCGGTTTATATGGTCTCACCCGAAGGACGGGTCTCCACGCCCCACCAGAAGGATCAACTCCTTATGCAAGTTGCATGAGATGCATGACTTGTAAATTGTAAATTTAAGGTTGAAAGTGTTCATCTGATGACTTTCTTTCTACGACTTTTTCAATGCACATGTATACTATACTACAGTTTAAACAAGATATATCATACATGTAGCATGGAATGTCCAATCGTCTCAGTTTGTTTTAAGGAGAACATCTTTGTGCAATTCATTTTTATACGCCATTATTGAATTACTGCATTCAACTAAAGATGGTAATGCTTTTTACTAATTGAATAATTTTAAGCTAAAAATTAAAATTAATTTCAATGTGATTTATTTGTTTTGTAAATATTTTGCCCTTTAAAAAGTAACAATAATGGAAAACAAATGACTACATTTTGTTTTTGATGTGCAGATGTAAATTCCATTCCAATATACACTAGTCAAAATTTCTAAGTCCCCACGCAAGTTTTTACTTTACACCGCTCTTATATTGAATTATTTTAACAGTATAATTTAATAAGTATAAAGGATAAAAAATGTAGCAAATAAATTTTTCGCACTTAATTTATTTAATTGAAGCACTTAAACACAATATACAGAAACGTTAAGGTACCCTAGAATTAAAAATTCACAACGTTAAGTACTGCATTATCCTCCATTCAAACGAATTCACAGCAAGACAACCGTTACTAAAAGAGTTCACACTATTTAAGAAAAAGTCTTTTATTGAATGTTTTTATATGTGGAGACTAGGTCGTCCTCTAGTTTCGCTAGATTCTGCTGCTGGAAAAGCTGTCTCACACTCAGATGTATCTTCTTCCATACATGTACGTTAGGGAACTTGATGCTTTTTAACAAAAAAGGTCATGGTCGAGTAATTACACATTTGATTACATTTTTTTTGGCCTTGACAGGTATTTATAGCAAATTAAAGGCAAAATTAAAAGCAACTAGTACATTGATATTAAGTTTTTGAACTTTTAGAAAAAATAAAAGTGGGGACTTAGAAATTTTGAGAAGTATACTTATGCTGAAAAATTATACTTAAAACTGTTTCTTAACCTTATTCGATATATTCAAGTGTTTTCCTCTACAATTCACACAGCAAGCGTTTTATATAATGTAGACATTCAAAACAAGATATAAACACAATTTAAAAGACTAATTATTAAGTGTTATGTACGAGTAGAAAATGTTTTAAGAAAATTGTTCTTCCTGTTTACTAAGCCATAACTGGATTACTAAAAGTATTAAATAAAGTATTAAATGAAGTACATTCTGAAATTACAAAAAAAATGCACTAAATTTACCTAATATGTAAATGAATCAAAGTACTCAGAAGTACAGAGAGCCGGGCTCATTTACAGAGTAGAATGGATTTCTTACATGAATCACGTTTATATTCTGATGAAAAAAATATTTTAAAACTATCAATATAAATGATAAGACACTGACAGAGTGTTTTTCAATCCTAACACCACGGTCCGATTTTGTCAGAATCAGAATTAATCTGGTACCCCCTGTAGATTAAAGCTAAAAGTTTTAGGGGGCAAAAAAATGGATAAAGAAGTATATTGGCTAAAATGCTCGCCTGAGCTTATTGGGAAAAAAATGATGAGATGTTGATCTCATAACATTATACAATTATAGCTATATTTTAAGGTAAATGCAATGATTCAGAATCTAAAGGAGTAAAAGATTTATCAAGCCTTAAGGGTTAGGTAAACATTGTTTTTTGATGGTGGAAATCATCGAACTGACAGAAATAATCAGCAGTATTATACATTATTATATACTCCGCTTGAAAAGCGGGAGGGTATATAGTGATTGGGATGTCCGTCCGTCTGTCTGTGCGCTTTGAGGTATCCATCTCTTATCCGCAAATCCTCATATATAAAAAGATGTGTTTGTGAAACAGCTATGCCCCTGTATGGCAACATAGCGAAGATTTAACTTTTCTTAAATGCAATTTAAATATATTTTTACCCAAAGTAGGGTCTTCTCACAAGAAATACAACTGCAAAATAGGAAAGCCCTAGCACCACTTGTTCAAAAGTAATGGCTAAGGATAAGTTTTTGAAAGGTAGGTCAAACTCAAAGGTCAAAGTTGATGATTTCTTAAGAAAATGTTTAATGTAACGAGGATAACATATGTGAAGTATGAATACCCTAGCCCTTACCGTTCAAAAGTTATGGCCAAGGTAAAAAAAAATCATAAGTACGGAAAACTCCAAGGTCAAGGTCAAAAGGTCAAGGTTTTTAGTATCCAACGAAAGGTAATGCCAAAAAACTACATATTTGAAGTATGAGAGTACTAGTATCCACCGTTTAAAAGTTATGGCCAATGTAAAAAGAACTTTATTCGGTAATAACCAATATTTGCCCCCCAAATCAAACTTTGATGGAGATATATTTAATTAAGTTCTTAAACAGGGGAGTATATGCTGACTTCAAAGCACTGAATATTTTCATAAGTAATGACGCCATATTTACGTAATGACGTCACAAACATTACGTTAATTTCAGTTTTTTATGAATTTTACAGAAAAATGTCAATATTTTGTCGATATTTTGAGTAAAAGTCACCGAGCGCATATGTGTTCAGGATCAATATTTTGATATAATGTGTAGAATGATAATATCAATGAAATATGTCAATATTGTTCCTGAACAAACTTGCGCTCTATAAATTTTAAAGCTAAAATTGTTGAAATTTTGTCCATTTTGTCCTCTTTCTGAAAAAGATAGAAAATCGGACTAGTTTGTGACGTCATAAAAAACAAAAATTGTGAATACACTGCTTTGACACAATAATATTTTCTGTTAATTTATATTTCTCATACAACTTATTGAATTCAGCACATTTGAGGAAGTTTTCAAAATCTGACTTTTGTGGGGGCAAATATATGCAATATACCGCATATAGTTCTTTGGCATTTTTGTGTAAAATGGGATAACCTCCAAGGTAAAGGTCAAAAGGTAAAATTTGGTGGTACCCAAAGTAAGGTCTTGTCACAAGGAATATACATATTAAATATGAAAATCATAGCTCCAATAAATGAAAAGTTATGGTAAAGGTTAAGGTTTTTGCGGACAAACAAACCGCCAGATAGACAGACGGACATACAGACGAACACGATAAAACTATATACCCCCGAATCTTCGATTACGGGGACATAAAAAGAAATGGTCTTTAATTAAATTTTCATATTAATATACATATAAAAAAGACATTACAACAATGAAAATGTTTGTTCTGATTTTCATATTAAATTCTCTGAAAAATATACTCAGAACTGAGTAAAAGGGTGGAGTGAAACAAGAATTAAGGTAGAACCTATATCGGAAAAGTCTTTGTCACAAGATTTTCAAACTTTTCAAAATGATAAATTAGTACTTGTTTATCAATCAGTTAAGATATCATGATATGTTTCCTTGTTTTTTAATCTAGAACAAGCTGTGAAACTTGGTATGGAATTTACACACTGCGACTTCACATTTTCAAATATTTTTAGGAGTACTTGTCATCAAGGGAATATGTAAAATCACAAAAATACTTCTTCAAACATCGTCGTTTATAAACTTTTTAAACAGAATAATATTAAACAATATTTTATCAAGAATAATTTCTTTTTTATTCAATTGACATAAAAGATAAGTCCACCATTAAAAAAAAATAGTCAAATGAACTCTATTATTTTTAGCCAATTATTCACACTATATTTGTAAATATTTTTTTGAAAGTCTTTGTCATAATGTTTTCAATCTTCAATATGATGAAGAACATAGCCAAATGATTACAAAAAAATGATTAAAATATATACCTTTCCCCTCTAACTAATGAAAGATAGGCTATTTACCGATACTCATATTCTTGAACTTTTTGCACTTACCCGACTGTTTGGGGTTACTTTCAGATAAAATATTTATCAGAAATTGTACTTTTTCTTTAAAAAGATCATATTTAATATAAAAATTGTAATCAAACACCAAAAATATGAATAGGTAACAAATAATTGTTAAATGGAACGCACATCATTTCATTATAGATATCACAAAAATGTACACCCGATCAAACGATCTACAACACGTACATCTTTGACTTAGACACATTTCATCAAGATATTACACTATATAGCTGGCAACTAAAGATTTCTTACGATTTATGCATTCCTTCAAAATGGTTACATACCATTCAAATTATTACGAAAGTAGTATGTACATTGTAATTTTATTACACTAGATAGTCTTGGGTTTGTCAACTTCAGGTCTAGATCTAGTAAATAAAAGGTGCCTACATATGTTCTCTTATTCCAGAAATATATTGCCATTAAGCATTATAAACCAAAAAATATATGAATTGAATCAAGATTATGTTGGCATGATTGAATTCTGTGAATTTCAAA